TGGCCTTGTGCATCGCCGCGGACGCCGCGCACGACATGCCCTGGCGCATGTGGTGGCCGTCGACGCCGCCGCGCACGATCAGCGGCTTCCCGACCTGCTGGCAGGCCTGCCGCAGGACGACAGCGGGGTCAAACTGGTCGGTCTGGCCGCCTGCGGGGGGCGGGCGAGAACCAGGGGCGAAGGGCTCTCCGTCTCCTCGCCATTCCTCCTCCCTCTCCTCCTTCTGCTCTTCCCCCTGCTCTTCCTCCTCCTGATCCTCCTCCTCCCCCCTCCTCCTCTCCTCCCCCCGCCTGCTTATCCCGCCCTCCCGCCTCCTTCTCACCGCCCTCCTCCGCCTCCGCTTGCCCCTCAACTTGATCCACCCTCCTCCACCTTCCCGCCTTCTCCCCCTCCTCCTCCTCCTCCTCTTATGTCTGATGTTGCTGTATGCGGCCGCGGCCCCATCGATTAATCGGTTGCGTGGCCGCGCTGGCTTGCAGGAGGAAGAGGGGGGGGGGGGAAGAGGGGGAGAAGAAGGGCGAGGATATAGACGAGGAGATGGAGGTGGAAGGATCGCGCGGGGAAGACGGTGGAGGCGGGTGGGGGGCGGACGGGGGCCTGGGAAGAGGGGGCGGAGGAGGGGTGGAGCAGGGGGGCTGGAGGGGGGGAGGGAAGGGGGGAGGGAAGAGGGGACGGAGAAGGGAATGACGGGTGGAAGAGGGGGGGGGGGGGGGGGAGGAGGAGGAGGAGGAGGAGGAGGGAGGAGGCGGAGGAGGAGGAGGAGGAGGGGGGAGGAGGAGGAGGGAGGAGGAAGGGAGGAGAGGAGGAGGAGGCGGGGGGGGAGGAGGAGGAGGAGGAGAAGGGGGGGAGGAGGAGGAGGAGGAGGAGGAGGAGGAGGAGGAAGGAATGAGAAGGAGGTGAAGAAGGAGGAGGAGGAGGAGCGGAATACGCTCCTTCTAATTTCACCTTGTCGCCGCCACGCAACCTCTCCTCGCCCCAGGCCTTGTCGGTCGCCAGGTGGCCGAGCGCCTGCTGCTCGACCTCCCTGGCGGTCGTCTTGAGGCGCTTCGCCTGGTGCATGTAGCGGGAGTGGGCGGCCCTCTTCTCCTCGTCCGGCGCAGGCCCGCGCCGCTGCGCGACGGCGACTGCGCCCCTCGCAGGCGCGCGCAGCAGACACGCGGGCAGGGGGGGCCCCAGGGCCTCCCCCATCCCCTCCAGGGCCACAATGGCTCCGGGTGCGGGCGTCGACGAGAGCAGGACCCAGGGGAAGGATGCGGCGGAGAAGGAGATTAGGGAGCGGGGTCGGCCTCCACAGGGTGGCTGGCCTACTCCTCCTCAGGCCTCACTGCCGAGAGAAGTGGGCGGGCGGGTGGGATCATCATCGCCTAGGGGGCCAAGCGAGCCTCGCTCCCCCAAGGACAAAAAAAACTGAGAGGGAGAGAATGACGACACTTGGGGGGGGCGAGTGAGGGCATTGCGGGGGGGGGTCAAGAGGAAACGCGGGAGAGTGAAGGAGGGCGTCGAGGGACGCATGAAAAAGAGTAGGGGAGAAGGATGAGGAACCCCCAGCCCCACCGAGACCATCTTGGGAGTTCGGCCTCGCGCGCGGCCCCGGTCACGATCCCCGCCAGAGGCGGCCGCAGCCCGAGCGCGGATGAACGGTCTCGAGATTCGCGTGGAGCGGGCCCAAGCACAATCTGGTGCGCGTGCTGTGAGCGCGGCATTGCAGAAAATAAGCAACAAATCATACCAAACCCAACCCCAAACCACACAGAAACCATGACAATGCCACGCGTGAACTGACTGGTGCCTGTCACGCAATGTCTACAGTAGTCATTTATGATATGTCGTGAGTCATGCATATATGACGTGATATATGTGTAATGGCACTGCAACTAATCACAGTACACATATGATGTAATTGTGTGTACACGGCGTGCATATGATATACATAAAACGTGCGTTATGGCGAATGAAGAATTATGCACGTATTACATATGCAGTGTAAACAAGGCACGGTGCTATATGCATGAATATAAATCATATGCCGTATACATGTATATACATATATATATATATAGATTGTACATTATACATATATACTGAAACATTGCATACTTATGTGCACACATACATATGCCATGTGGCATTTATATACAGATCTGTATATCCATTATATATCAGTATATAAGTATGTCGTGTCGAATTGGATATATATGTATACACACATATGTATATATATATATATATATATATATAAATATATGTCATATATATACATATATATGCCATAACTACAGGTGAGTATGTATATGTATACTAAAAGACCTGAGCATGTAAGATTTGCATATAAAAATAATACAGGTGATATATGCGAATGTAATATAATGCGTTATATGTACTACATATTATATATTATGTAAGACGTAATGTCCACTGTTCACTGTATAATATATTCTATATCATATGTATAACATATTTGTTTTTGGGGTTTTTTATATTTCTCAATTTGGGGTTTTGTTGACGGTTTCGTGCAATCGGCTGAAGAGTGGCGGGGCCACCCCCACAACATATGATTGTCTCGCCTCGAAGCTCCTGGTCGCAACCCCCTCGACACGTCCTCCCCAAGGGCGTCGAGGTGGTCCTTCGGCTGCACCAGGACCGGCTGCCCCGTGACTCCGCGGATGGCCTCCATGCGCCGCACCGCGCGCGTCGTGCTCTCCGGGAACTCGTAGCGCAGCAGTACGTGCATCTCCTGGTCGCTGCTGGGCAGCTTGGGGTACTTCTCCTGGAAAGAGCAGGAAACAGCACAGGCAAAAGTTCTCGAGGGTCCGCGTGGAATTCTTGGATCAGCGCTGGGGCCCCCCATCCCTGTCGCGCGGAGCGCCAGGGGCAGCGCCGGAAGGGGCCCAACGCCGATCCAAGAAATCCGCGCGGACCTTTGAACAAATCGGTGTTCGCAATTTTCTCATTCGATGTCCTTCAGCTGCTCTATCATGTTGAGATATTCCTCCCAAGTGGTGCTGCGTGAGAAGACTAGCGTCTTGCGCGGCTTAACCACGCCGATTGCCTCGTGGAACCAGCCAATGTCCGCCAAGTAGGCCACGTAGACCAAGATTGGTAGGAACGCAATTGTAAGCAGACCCTCAATCGGTGTGACCTTGTTCGGCGTGACGACCAGCAAGATGACGAGGAGCCAAAGGTACGCGAATATCGAGAAGAACGCGGTGACCCCGAAGACAGTCATGTCCTTGATCCTGCGCGAATCGCCACCAGGAATGGCTGAAATGCAGACCGCTGTGATGATCAGCAGGTTGAATGCTGCACTGCCTACGATGGTCGAGGGACCAAGGCCGCCGACCTTCATCCTGTTCGGGGCCAGTTCGACCAGGCTCAGTCCGCCAACGTGCCTCGAGAACGTCATAGCATGCCGCAGGCACTTAGAAATTCCCACTCGAACTCTATAATCAAACACGTGTCGGTCTGTCGGTCTGGCGGCAATGTGCTCGCCGTCGCCGCCACGTCCCCGCCAGGTCGCCGTCGGTCGTCTGGGCCAGTTTGTCGGACTGGAGGCTACGTGCTCGCCGTAGCCGCTCCGTCGCCGCCTCGTCTGGGCCTTGCTGTGCACTGCGGTGTACTGGGCACTACGTTGCTGCGCCTTGCTTTGAACATTGCTCTGCACTGCGCCGATGTGCATTACGTTGGTTTGCCTTCCTTTGCCTCGCTGTGGATTGGTTCGCATTGCTTTGCATTGCGTTGTTTGTATCGCTTCGCGTTGCTTTGCGCTGGAGTCCGGGGCTACATCGCTCCATGGTTTTGCGTTGCTCTTCGCTGCTCTGCACTGCTTTGCAACTCGAAGGAAAGCATTGTATTGCAGGGCCTTGCTTTACATTGGTTTGCGTTGCGTTGCCTTGCTTTGAGTCGCTGTGCTTCGCATTGCTACGCCATGCTTGTCCTTAGGAATTCTGACATCTATGTCGGTCTGGCGGCTATGTTCCTACCGTCGCCGCCCCGTTGCCGCATCGTCGCCCCCCGTCGTCTGGGCCGTGTCGTCGGTCTGGTGGCTATGTTCTCGCCTTCGCCGCCACGTCGCCGCGTCGTCGCCGCCCGTCGCCTGGCCGTGTCTTCGGTCTGGCGGCTATGTTCCCGCCGTCGCCGTCCCGTCGCTGCCTCGTCGCGGCCCTGGATTGCTCAACATTGAATCGCTTTTCTAAAGGAGCATCAAGATCTAACCCCCAGGACTTAACTGGCCACTTTTCGTAATGTAACTTGCAAATGGTTCTGCCTCATCGTCCATGCGAAATATGAACTCATATCGCCCCAACCAATCCGGGAACGGTTCCCCCACTCATCCCGTGAAAACATGCGCACACTCGTTTATCAAACATCATCAATTCTCAAGACTTCTGTCACACGCACGCGTCGTCGCGCGCGTGTGCCGAAATCATTACTTGTTTTCTGATGAAAAACTAGAAATGCCGTAAAGCTTTCAATATTCAGTGTCACGGAAGCATATAGACAAGTATCGTATCGCAACAATTCTGTTCAAACTTACCTGGCGAATAATCCAACCATATGCAATTGTGAACACCGCAATTGCGGGTATCGTCTTCCGTGAAGCCCCTCTGGGGCCACGAAGAAACGCTGTACTGGGCGGGAAACCGCTGACTCGGTGAACGGAAAACTGCATGCGAATCCAACTGCTGGGGCCCTCGGTGGAGCTCCATATGGGGCAACGACCCGTGTGAGGGGTGTGCCGAAATGGACGCGCGGTGGGCGGGGAACCGCGTGCGAACCCTGCCACTGGGGCCTTCGGTGGAGCTGCATATGAGGCCACGAACCGTGTGAGAGGTATGCCGAAATGGACGCGCGGTGGGCGGGGAACCGCATGCGAACCCTGCCACTGGGGCTTTCGGTGGAGCTCCATATGAGGCCACGAACCGTGTGAGGGGTGTGGCGGAATGGACGCGCGGTGGGCGGGGAACCGCATGCGAACCCTGCCACTGGGGCCTTCGGTGGAGCTCCATATGAGGCCACGAACCGTGTGAGGGGTGTGCCGAAATGGACCTTGGGTGGGCGGGAACCGCATGCGAACTCTGCTGCCGGGGTCCTCGGTGGAACTCGATATGGGGCAACGACCCGTGTGAGGGGTGTGCCGAAATGGACCTGGGGTGGGCGGGGAACCGCACGCGAACCCTGCTGCCGGGGTCCTCGGTGGAGCTCCCCATGGGGCCACGAACCGTGTGAGAGGTATGCCGAAATGGACCTGGGGCGGGCGGGGAACCGCATGCGAACCCTGCTGCCGGGGTCCTCGGTGGACCTCCCTATGGGGCCACGAACCGTGTGAGGGGTGTGGTGGAATGGACGCGCGGTGGGCGGGGAACCGCATGCGAACCCTGCCACTGGGGCTTTCGGTGGAGCTCCACATTGGGCAACGAACCGTGTGAGAGGTGTGCCGAAATGGACCTGGGGAGGGCGGGGAACCGCATGCGAACCCCTGCCACTGGGGCCTTCGGTGGAGCTCCATATGTAGCCACGAACCGTGTGAGGGGTTAGCCGAAATGGACGCGCGGTGGGCGGGGAACCGCATGCGAACCGTGCCACTGGGGCCTTCGGTGGAGCTCCATATGAGGCCACGAACCGTGTGAGAGGTGTGCCGAAATGGACCTTGGGTAGGCGGGAACCGCATGCGAACCCTGCCACTGGGGCCTTCGGTGGAACTCCCTATGGGGCCACGAACCGTGTGAGGGGTGTGCCGAAATGGACCTGGGGTGGGCGGGGAACCGCACGCGAACCCTGCTGCCGGGGTCCTCGGTGGAGCTCCCCATGGGGCCACGAACCGTGTGAGAGGTATGCCGAAATGGACGCGCGGTGGGCAAGGAACCGCATGCGAGAACCCTGCCGCTGGGGCCTTCGTTGGAACCCCCAATGGGGCCACGAACCGTGTGAGGGCGTGCAGGAATGGGCGGGGAACGATGACGATGATGGTGATGATGGCCGTAATGGTGATGACGATGGTGATTACGATTGCGGTGACGAGTTTGATGGTGATGATGCGATGATGATGTGGTGATGATGATGGTGGTGGTGGCGATGATGATGACGCTGACGATGAGAGGTGGGGAAGGGGCAGCGGGAGGAGGAGAAGTGACGCGGGGCGCTGCCTTCTCAGAACGAGGGCCCAACACCACAGGATGGGTGGGGGAAAACACCTGCGCTCGCACCCTGGCGCATTCTGGAAAAAACCATGCTCTGTTTAAGCATGTTCGTAAACTGCTATCACACACGGGCCCTCCGCGCGTGCAGTGCGGAATCGTCTGGGTGCCAGTGCGCGCGTGTTGTCGCACGGATCGTTTGTGAAAGACAGAGGCGAAGGGCACACGCGCGCGTCGACGCGCGCGTACAATCGGGGCGTTGACCTAAGGAACCTTAAATAAGAAACGGGGCCCCTTTCTCCCATACGTTGAATTTCGATTTCCCATGGAAAACCTCAGGAAAACGGAAGGCAAACTGCAGAACAATCAAGGAACGCCCAGCCCCTCTCATACGAAAAAGGTTCCTTCTTCCGGGCCCCGGCTGTATGCCGAAGCGTGCCGGAACCTCTCAAAACTTCGGGTTTCGCAAGGATCTCAAGAACGCGTCCATATATGATCACATTGTTTGGCAGCATCAACTTTCACAACAACCTGCGCGCGCGTTCTTGCGAATCTCTAGAACCAAATGGTGGTTCTGCCAAGCGGGCCTCTCGCGCCGCATTCCGGACTCATCCGAACGCCCTTGCGCGCGTGCTGTAAGGGACTGGGCGCGCTCCGTGTCAAATAATACATCGCGGCCCACTCGCGCGTCGGCCGCGCGCGCATGTCGAACTCACCCCACAACCTTCGCCACCGACGCCACCACATCGTCATCGTTACCAGCCTTGTCGTCGTCACCACCACCATCGTCACCACCATCGCTACTCTCATCATCGTCTCCACCGTTGTCGGCGTCGCCATGATACCGCGCCCGCCCAAGTCACCGACTCGCACTGAAGTGCACGCTGCGAAGTGCCCAGCGGTCAGCGCCACAGCGGCCGCGCCGGTCGCGCCGCACTAGCTGACCGTTGCGCGCGCGATCATGCGCAGGCTAGCGCGGCCGTCGAGATGCACCAGCCAACGCCAAGCACTCGTCGCAACCGCCGCCGCATGGGTTTCACAAACCAAGTTAAGGGTGGGTGGGTGGGTTTGCGCGAGCAGCGAAGTTGACAACTCACTGCGAACATAGGTGAATTACACCGCAGAGATTGCACCACATAGAGCGCACCAAATAGCTTGCGAAACATAATTTGCATCGCATTGATCGCGCCAGATGGATTGCACAACGAAGACTGCCCCGCATAGTGGACAGCATGCGTTCTCCTTTCTAAAAAAAAAATAGACTCTACCCCCCCCCCCCGGACTTAACGCTTCCCCCGGGGATATTATTCTTCACACACATATATATATATATATATATATATATATATATTCTGCACACTCGCCCATCCTAAATATGATATCATACCATCCCAGACAGGCCGGTTCCCCCCCTAAGGGTTCCTTGTAAAAAACACTATGCGGTGACATGTTTTGTTCTCATAACACTTTTTCGCGAATCCCTTGCAACAAATGAGACGAAGTGCGCACGCGCACGTCGTCGCGCGCGCATGCCGAAATCATTCAAAAACCGTCGGTGCCGGAAGGATTTCGCAATCGAGCTTCCCAAAAAAAACATACAAAAACACATGGTTTCGCATCACTGATTTGCTAAAAAAGCTTCCGCGCGAACTCTTGCGAAATCTTAAGAAAACCATAGGTTTTTCAAGATTTTCACAAAATGCTACTCAACGGGCTTCGCGCGCGCATGTCGGAATCTGTCGAACGCCCTTGCGCGTGTGCCGTCGCGAGAATCCTGTGCAAAAACTGGGACGAAGTGCAGACGCGCGCGTGGTCGCGCGCGTACGCCGAAATCCCTCAAAACCCATCGGTTTCGGAAGGATTTCGAAATCGCGCGTCCAAAAAACATACAAAAACCCAAGGTGTCGCAACACGGATTTTCAACAAAAGCGTGCGCGCGCGCTCTTGCGTCGTCGTCGTCGTCGCCGTCCTTCCTCCTCCCGCGTCGTCGTCGTCGTCGCCTACGTCGTCCTCTGTCTTTCCTCGTGTTCGTCGTCGTCGTCCTCTTTGGCGTCGTGGTCGTTTCCGTCGTCGTTGTCGCCGTGGTCGTCCTTCCTCCTCCTCCCTCGTCGTCGTCGTCGTCCGTCGTCGGCGTCTCGTCGTCGTCCCTCCTATTTCGTCGCCGTCGTCGTCGTTGTTGTCGTCGTCTTCCCTCCTCCCTTTTCGTTGCCGTCGTCGGCGTCGCCGTCCTTCCTCCTTCTTCGTCGTTCGCGTCGTCGCCGTCCTCCCTCCTCCCTCGTCGTTGTCGTCGTTGTCGCTGTTGTCGCCGTCGTCGTCCTCCCTCCTCCCTCGCCGTCGTCTTCGTTGGCGACGTCGTCGTCTTCGTCGTCGTCGGCGTCGTCGTCGTCTTCGTCGTTGTCGGCGTCGTCGTCGTCGCCGCCGTCGTCGTCGTGGTCGTCGTCGTCGTCGGCGTCGTTGACGTCGTCCTCGTCGTCGTCGTCGGCGTCGTCGATGTCGTCGTCGTCGTCGTCGGCGTCGTCATCGTCGTCGTCGCTGTCATCGTCGTCGTCGTCGTCGGCGTCGTCGTCGTCGGTGTCGTCGTCGACGTCGTCGTCGTTGTCGGCGTCGTCGAAGTCGTTGGAGACGTCATCGGTGTCGTCGTAGTCGTTGTCGGCGGCGTCGTCGTCGTCGTTGTCGCTGTCGTCGTCGGCGTCGCTGTCGTTGGCAAGTGCCATTTGGTACCCACCGTCACGGTCTTGAGAGATTTTGCGAACCAAGTTGCGGGTGGGTGGGTGGGATGTTTGCGCGAGCAATGGAGTGGTCAAGCGCGGTGCAGGGTAGTCAATTGCACCACATAGATTTCACCAAATAGGAGTGCACAATATAGTTTGCAACCGCACAGGGATGAACAGCACAGGTCGCACCAAATAGATTGCACCACGCGGATTGCACAACATATATAGCACCGCATATAATGATCGGAAAAATAGTCTGCAGCTCGTCAGTTGCACCAACTGGATTGCGCCACATAGATTGCACAATCAAGATTGTACCACAGAGGCTGCACTGCTTAGACCGCACCACATTACTTACTTAGAGCCGCATGCATTCCAACACATGAATTGCACCGAATGAACTGCCACACATAGTGCACCACATAGATTGCATCACATACACTGCACTACCTAGAGTCGCAACACATTGCCAAACCTAGATGGCACAACACATACTACACCACACCAATCGCTGGAAACACACTGTTTGGGGCCCCAGCTGGCTAACAAGCTGCTAGGATCTAAAAAGCGGTGTAACCAGTGGGGGCCCAGCCTGGACAAGTCCAGCCGTCAGTGGTCGCAACTTGGGGGAGCATCGCGGGAGCCCTGCCACAAGGTTAGGGCTGTTGGAAGTTCTACAATCGGACCTAGGACAGAAAAACACGCTTCAACAACATGAGACCCTCAACCAGAAGAACATTCGAGGGTGCCCTCCCCCAGACTGCACAAGAAGATCCAGCAACACACGAAGAACCTTAGGGTACCCTTCCTGAGCCGACCTCGATCTTACACTCCGGTCCGACCGTATGAGTTCTTCAACAGCTTGAGACTCAGAGAGGGTGCGCTGGGCCAGGTTCGGTGGCTCGCTCAGGGGAGAAGGCAGAGAGAAGGGGCCTCCTGAGAGGGATCAGAAAATTATCGACCCGACGGCCTTCTGAGATCCGTTCTAGACTGCCTCCGAAACCACAGAGGGCTTCTCAGAAGGCCAGAGGGCTTCTGTGAAGCCTCGCCGCCTTCCGCGAAGGCTACGTCCTCTCACTACCCTCCTCGACGCACCGCCGACTGTTGGAAACGATGAGTCGTTCAACAACACAACTTGAGCCTCGGAGGGTGCGCTGGGCCAAGTGCCAATGCACTGCCTCGCCCAAACGACCCGAAGACCTCCCCAATTGGCACCCCACGGAGCCGGAGGCCTCGAAGGCCGCCAAAGAAGACCACAAAGAGATTCCGAGATATCTCAAGTGGCCTCCCAAGGCTCATGGGCATCGATAGGTGGGGGTGCTGGCACAGGGCACGGGCATCGTCTTGGAATCGGCGGTACATCACCGATAGATCGGCGATGGGCCCTCTGTAGCAAATCCTAAACTGTCCTGGGAGAGGTTGGCTGTCGGGCCCATCTCGGCGATCAGCAGCGATTGTGGGTCGACGCGGTCCCCGGTAAGCATGCTCCCCCCCCCCCAACTTGGCCCTGGAAGGCAGGGCGACGGCATGGGCCTCAGGCGACCAGATAGGATCTCAGGCGCACTGGAACCAAGGGCCATCAAGGTCAAGTTCGCCACCGTGTCATTCCAAACCTTCACGGTCCGCCGCTGCGACTCGCTGTCTGGAGCGGCCGCGCTTTGGACGCCCCCAGAGTCCTGGCCCGCGTCCCAGACCGACTTGGTGTACTTCTGTATGACCTGCTTCCTTTCAGAGGTGATCTTCTCGATTGCGCTCATGAAGATGTCGGATATGATTCCGACACCCTGGAAGCACCAGATCAGCCCGAAGAAGTACAGGATGCCGCCCAGAACCTGGCTTTCGATGTGGACGAGCGGCAGGAAGATGCCATCCACTCCGCCCAATAGCATAGG